CTACAAGGGGCTGGACTCTATGCTGGGTATATGCTTGCAAAGAAAGAATCTCAACTGAACTTGAACTCTGGTCATGCAACAAGGTGGAGGAATCCACCATGGGCAGAGGGGTGGGGGAATCCCAGAACCTGTAAAACTGTGTCACATAAAACAATGTAATTAATAAAAACAAAACAAAACAAAAGAACAAACAGAAAAGAAAAAAAAAAGAAACAAAAATGGCAATTAAACTCACAGGAGACCTCTCACAGGAAACTCTACTGGCCAGAAGAGACTGGAGCAACATCTTCCCAATCCTCAAAGCACAAAATGGTCAGCCCACGATGTCGTACCCAGCTAAATTTTGTCTTCACAAATGAAATAAAATGCTTCCAAAGCAAAGAAAAGTGAAAAGAATTTGCCTCTTCCAAAACTGCACTACACAGAAGACTTAAACAGGTTCTCTTGACAGAGTAAAGGAATACCACCCACCAAAACCAAGAACATCCCAGGAAAAGAACAACAGAAGACTCAATCAATGAACAACCCATTGCTAAAACGACAGGACCAAATTACCACCCATTTACACTAACACTGAAGAGAAATGGCTTCAACTCCTCAATCAAACGTCATAGATTAGTAGACTAGATCTAAAAGAAAAACAAACACATCTGTTTCTTGCCAACAGGACACATCTCTCACCAACAGAAACTAGATCTCATGGATTTTGGAGAACTGGGCCTCCTCACTTGCTAAGCCTGAGCAGTGGACAGCATGCCCAGATGCACTTGGGGCAGATGGCAGCTCACCCAGGTCTGCAGAGGACACTGAGTACCATGTAGACGATGGGAGACAGAACCAATCGGACAACTCTCCAAACCAGGCTTTAGCATCAAGCATCGGGGCAAACAGACACTCTCAGGTGGACAATGTCAGCCAGCAGACCTTGGAAGAATTTCCTCATTCCTGCAGCAACAAAACCAACAGCCTTTCAGAACTATCACAACCCCTTGCGCAGTGCCCTCACACCCTGATCCACATCTGGGACCCTGGGATGATATGGGGTGGCTGTCCTCCACCCCCCGGCACTCATGCGGTTAGGATGCTGGGTATGGCTTCACCTCTTCTTCTTCCCTTTCCCCAAGAACAAAGAGAACAAAATGAACATCAGAAGCGATGGTGTCATGCACGGGAGCCTATTCCTCCACCCTTCCCATGGGATACAGTGGTACACATGGACATGGATCCATCTCAACTACATCATCAACACCAAAATAAAATCATTTTATCAGACTTGTTGTGGATGAGTAGGGAGGCCAGAGGCCTGGAGTGTGGCAGTGGACAGTGTGGTCAGAGATGGGGTCCTGGGTCAACCAAACAAATGGTCCACACAGGGTCAGGTGTCAGGCAGGTATGGCAGTTACTCCTGCGATGCTTCGAGCTGGTTGCCAGGTTGGAATAACAGATGACATCAGAGGATTCCGCCCCTCCTGATTGGAGGGGCCACACTCGTTGGCACCTGCCAGCACTGGCTAACAGCATCTTCTCCGAGCTGGGCTTCAGTGTTGACTCCCACGCTGAGGAAGATACGACACGGTGCGCTTGAGCCAGCCAGGCTTGATCGGGAAGGACTGAGAGAGATCAGGGTGTGGGTCCGCAACAGGGAGCCAGGGTTTTGAGAAAGACCATGGCCAGCTGCGAACCGGACCCCCAGATCGAGGACTGTCCCCTGGAGGCGCTGGTGGATGATGAGGTCCCAGGACCACCAGATGAGGGGCCCGAGGGAGCAGGTGACTCACAATCTCACTGGGGAGGAGGAGGGTGGCAGCAGTCCTAGGGAGCTGAGGACAAGTGTGATGGCAAAGAAGGCCTCGGGGGGTCAGGATTGGAGGAGAGGCCTCCAAGAGGAGACCAGGATGCCCACAAGGACACAACCCCAGGGAGCTAGGCACGGCAGTGGGGGGATTGGGAATGGGGCAGGTGTCCTGGCTTCCATTACAGGCTAGAAGACAGGCTGGGCAATGTTGGGTGTTGGGGGTGGTACCAAGTGTGCCATGTGTCAAGGAGCAGGCGGCCTCAGGAGGAGGCCCCAAGCTGGGGCTGGGGAGCATGGCAGCTTTCAGTTATTCTGTGGGGGCCAAGACTAGAGATGGCCCGTCACAACAGAGCCAATTCCTTCCCACAGCCCCACACGTGGACACCAGCTCCCAGCCCCAGAGTTCTGCCGGCAGCACAAAGAGGCCTTGGTCCACAGCCTTCTCAAACTCGGGCTCAGACTCCGAGACAGAGGTGACAACAGAGATGCAGGGCATATGGCCTCGGGGCTGCAGGGCGAGCTGGCCCCGGAGACCAACCCAAAGGTGCACACAAAGCACAGAGCCCACGGAGAATTGGGATGTGGAGTGGCTCCTGGGGCTGAAGATGAGGCTCAAGAAGCAGCGTGTGTCGACGGTGCTGCCTGAGCACCACAAGGTCTTCAACAGGCTGCTCGGTAGGGCATGAGACTCGGGGAGGGTCGTGGGGGGTGCTTCGGTGGGTAGGGACAGGTCCTGGGGGACCTGGATGGAGCCTTGCCTGTGTAGCCAGAGAGACTGGGGGCCTGGGGAGAGCCCTGGATCTGCCAGCCTCTCTGATACACATGAGCTTCTGCTGCCCACGTCCACCAGCGGGGCTGCGGAGATGCCGGGCTCACTGTAAATGCCGGGCTGTCTCCCACTGATCACCCTATGCAGACTGAAACAGGCCTCAGTGGCACATGGGCAGCAACGGGCATGTGCCGAGGCCCAGGACACACATCCATGCTGGACCAAGTCCTTCCTCACTGGCAGCCACAGACCCTTGCTTGCCAGCCACATGTGCCCAGCCTCTGCATGGCTGCTGGACCCTTGGCTCTGACCTGACACTTCCCCAGAAGAGGCCAGGGCCCGCCTGCTTCTCAGCCTAACACACTGGCCCCTTTCCCCAGAGGATCCCGTGGTCAAGCGGTTCCTGGCCTGGGACAAGCAGCTCAGAGTATCTGACAAGGTGAGTGGGCCCGACACACGGGGATAGATTGGGTTGGGGGACACAGGGCATAGCACCCCTGCAGTCATCTGCCCCTGCACGTGCCTCCACCCAGCACGCACACACAGTGCCTGCCCTTTCCTGACGGGCCCCGCATGTATGACGGAGCCTGTGGCATCTCTGCTCCCCACTGAGACTGCTGCCTCTGTGCCAGGCCCCAGGTCAGGCCAGCCTGGATGTCACAACTCTCGTGGGCATCCCTGATGATCGGGGCCCAGGTGCCCAGCTTCCTGCTCCTCCAGAGCCCTGGGAACCCCAGCTGCCCTCACACAGGGCCCTGGCAGTGGCAAGGCTACACTGAGTGGCAACAGCCCACTGCCCCAATCCCCACCACCCTGTCCTGATTCTCGTCAAGTCATGACTCGTGTCGTGCTGCCCTCTCTCCCTCAGTACCTGCTGGCCATGGTCATCGCCTACCTCGGCCGAGCCGGCCTCTACCCTGGCAGTACAGGCGCATTCATTTCTTCGTAGCTCTGTGAGTATTCTGCTTCCCGACTCTCTGCCCTGGAACATGCAGGACTGAGTCCTCCCTCCACCTGCAACAGCAGAGTCAGCTCCAACACCACACCCTCCCTCTGCTTCTCTGGCCTCCCAGCGCTGCTGCCCAGCCCGCTTCCGGGGGCACCCTTTCTGATCCCTGACCTGCTGGGCCCAGGCCCGTGTGGCAGGGTCACGTCACAGTGCCCACAGGCTCTTACAGGCTTGGCCCTACTTGAGTGTAAGATGACAGCTCAGCTCCTGCCCTTTTGTGGCACCTCATTCACTCTGCACAAGGCCTTGCCTGGTACATGCCATGGGTCAGAGAGTGTGACAGGGAATGTGGAACTACAAGCTGCATGTGGAATGAGTGCACGGGAGTGGATGGACACGCTGTGTCTGCCCTTGGGGGCACGTCTGTGTCGTTGGGGAGGTGTGTGCACCTGCATCATGGTGAAGGGGTGGGGAGGGGGAGGGCAGGGATGCAGTGCCCAGGGCCCAGGAGGGAGGCATTCTCTGCCAGTTCCTGTCCAGCTACAGGGGCACTGAGGGCTCCCATGCAGAAGCTGAGCTTGGCCAGAGGTCTTCCCGCTGGGCCCGCGCAAAGAGATGGGCTTCTTTTCCCAGCTACCTGGCCAACGACATGGAGGAGGACGAAGAGGACGACGAGCCTCCCAAGCAGGCCATCTTGTCCTTCCTCTTCGGCAAGGATGACGCCCAGCGGCCCCTCTTCGACCACCTGCGCCTGCAGTTCATGCGCTGCATGGGCTGGAAGGCCTGGGTCACCCTGGAGGAGTGTGAGGAGGTGGGTGAGGCTGGGGCGGCTTGAGCAGGACCCAGGAGCAGGGCTGCAGGGCCCGGGGCTTGGGATGTGGGGACAGGCAAGAAGGGCCAGGGAAGAGCCTCTGAGGGAACGTTTGTCTTTCCAGATCCAAGCCTATGACCCAGAGCTCTGGGTGTGGGGGCGAGACCGGGCCCTCCTAGCCTAAGCTGCTGCACTGACACCAGTGGTCACCGGCCAGAGGGCAGGTGCGTGCAGGTCCTCGGGGTGGGCTGGGAGGGGGCTGTCTCCAGTCTGGGAGATCTGGCGGCACCCTGAGCTGCACTCCCTTTTGTCACCCACACCTTTCTAAACCTTGTCCAGATCCACAGTGGGAGATGATTAGATGAGATGATTGGATGGGACTGTGTGCATGTCCACACCTCCCATTCAATTCTGCCGTGCTCTGCAGTCACCCACACTCACTTTCCAACAACCCTCACCACGTTGGCCACTCCAGCATCAACGCTGGCCCCTGACTCCCACCCCTGCCGCCTTGTCCCCTCCTGCAAGCTTCCACCCCAGCAACACCTCCAGCATGGCCAGTGCAGCTGCACAATTGTGTGGCAGCTCTCATGGGGGACCATGCATGCATGACTCTCCTTTGGGGTGGGGAGGGCACCAGCTAAACATCTCTATCTACTTTCCAAGTATTCCTATGCTCATGGAATTTGCCAGAACGCGGAAGGGTAAGCACAGCAACATCCTGCGTGGTGGTCACCCCTGACTCATTAGTTCCCGTCAGGGATGGGGGCTGGGCAAGGACGCACCTTGGGCCGTGAGCTGAGTGGTTAGGGTCTGGGATTGGGCATGGGCTCTCCTGTTGGCGAGTGGCCCACCTCAGGCCCAGAGTCAGGGACCCCCACTGACAGGCCGAGGATGGCTGACAAAGACCAGAGTTCAGAACCAAGGGCCAGGGCGCCAGGGAGTCTGTCTCCCAGCCCACCCGTGGGGACTGAACTGGCTGCGAGTCACGTCTGACTGGGTCTCTCCTGCTTCCAGGTCGGTGAGCCCAGGGGAGACGTTCTTCAGCAACAGCAGCAGTCCAGACACCAAGGGCCACTGCGAGACAGGCGACAGGCCTGCTGGCCGACAGTCTGGAACAACCCAGACTCTTCGACAACAGCGTCCCCGCCAAGTACTCCTGCCAGCTGTGGGCACTCCCGGGGCTGTGCGGTGGGACAGGCCTTCTATCCACTTCCATCCTGGCCCGACACTCCATCAAACTGGCACAACTGATCTCCTCCCCTGAGACAGCAGCTGCAGCCCTACTCCTTTATTGATTTAGTCACTCAGTTTCCAACTATATGGTCCCCACGGTCAAAAACCATCAGAGGGGTCCCACTCTTGAACCCATCATTTGGGTGAATTGCACTAACTCAAATTTTACTCATACTTCTAATGGAGTGCATATTCTATATGTAGTTCTCACATAATGTATACATAATAAGATATATTTTCTTAGAAAAATATTTTTAAAACGCTATTTTTAGAGATAATTTATTAAATTTATTGCACATCGTTTTGAAATAGGGGGCAGAATTGGGGGGGGCTACGGGGAGTCACCCAAACTAGGCTGCAGCTCCAACTGGTTTGCGGGAGGACCCAATAGGAAGTGGATAGGATTCAGCTGGACTACAACACACTCGTTGGTTTATGAGGAAGACAGGGCTGGAAACAGAATGGACCCAGCAAGCTTAACGACCAGCATGTGCATAAGCTGACTGGGGTGACGGACAGTGCTGGACTCTGTACTAGCAAACTCACGCAAGAATCAGGTCTGGGATCATCTCAGAGGAAGTTTCTTTGGAGATCCCTCCAACAGAACTGCTGATCTTAGAAGCCCAACCACCAAGAGACTGTCCGCCAGTGGACTCTGAATAGGTTTCCTTGCGATTGGAACTGCGAGACTGGCAGCAATCCAGAACTGATGAACTACCAAACCCGCACAATTCTTGTAGGCGATCTCAACACGCCTCTAACACCAATGGACCGGTCTACGAAACAAAAACTCAACAAAGAAACAACAGAGCTCACACAAACAATAGAACAACTGGACTTAGTAGACATATATAGAACTTTTTATCCTAAGGCCACAGACTATACATTCTTCTCAGCGGTGCATGGCACCTTCTCCAGAATCGACCACATGAGAGGTCATAAAGCGAATCTAAACAACTTCCAAAACATTAGAATCATACCATGTACCCTCTCAGACCACCATGGGATGAAACTGGAAATCAACAACTCAAAACTCCCCAGGAAGTATAGGCACTCTTGGAAATTGAACAATATGCTATTAAATGAACAATGGGTCAGAGAAGAAATTAAAGATGAGATCAAAAAATTTATGGAAACCAATGAAAACTCTGATACAACATTCCAAAACTTGTGGGACACCGCCAAAGCAGTGCTACGAGGTAGATTCATCGCAATCGGAGCCCATGTCAAGGCCCAAGAAAGACGCCAAATACAGGAACTAACCACACACCTCCAGGATCTGGAAAAACAGCAGCAGAAGAGTCCCACGCACAATAGGAAACAAGAAATCATCAAAACAAGGGAGGAGATAAACCAAATAGAAATCAAAAAAACTATACATAAAATCAACAAATCAAAAAGTTGGTTTTTTGAGAAAATAAACAAAATAGACACTCCACTGGCCCGATTGACCAAAAAAAAACAAGAGAAAGTGAGAATCAATAGCATTAAAGATGAAAAAGGCAACATAACAACAGACACTACAATCATTAAGAAAATAATTAGAAATTACTACAAAGAACTGTACTCCCACAAATTTGAGGACCACCAAGAAATAGAAAAGTTCTTGGACTCCCACCACTTACCAAAACTCAGTCCGGAGGCAACTGAAGAATTAAATAAACCCATAACCGAGGTAGAGATTGAAACAGTCATCAAGGATCTCCCAACGAAAAAAAGCCCAGGCCCAGACGGCTTCACTACAGAATTCTACAAAACATTCCGAACAGAACTAACCCCAATCCTCTACAAGCTCTTCAAAACAATAGAGGAGGAAGCAACCCTTCCAAACTCATTCTATGAAGCCAACATCACCTTAATCCAAAAACCGGACAGAGAACCGTCAGAGAAGGAAAACTACAGACCTATTTCTCTGATGAACATTGATGCTAAAATTCTCAACAAAATCCTAGCCAATAGAATTCAAAAAATCATCAGACAGATCATTCATCCGGATCAAGTAGGATTCATCCCTGGAATGCAGGGATGGTTCAACATTTGGAAATCCATAAATGTTATAAACCATATCCAAAAACTGCAAAACAAGAACCACATAATAGTTTCAATAGATGCAGAAAAAGCTTTCGACAAAATCCAACACCTCTTCATGCTAAAAACTCTAGCCAAAGTAGGCATAGATGGGAAAATCCACAACATAAAGGAACTGGGTCGGGGAGGGAATTGGGGAAGGGATAAGGGAATATGGAACTGTATCGTAAAATGATAGCAATAATGATACTGAAAAATTAAAAAAAATGAAAAAAAGTTACATTTATGTTACTTGAGAGAGTCTAGACAGGGAGATCTTCCATCTACTGGTTAAACCCCACAAATGGCTGCAGTTGCTCCAGCTGAGCTGCTCCTAAGCCAGAAAGCAGGGGTTTCGTCCAGGTCTCCCACGTGGGTGCAGGGGCCAAGCATTTCGGCCATTCTCCACCACCTTCCCAGGCCAGCAGCGTGGAGATGGGTCTAGTGGGCAGCCAGGACTCCAACCAGTGTCCATATGGGATGCCAGTGTGTAGGCAGAGGGCTAACTTGTTGCACTACTGACGCCTGCACCTTCCTTTTCAAAAGTGTGCTCTTGTAGGTAGCACATTGTTCCATCTTGCCTTTTTCCCCGAGTCAGTCTGACAGTTCTGCATGTTAATTGGGCTTTGTCGGCCATTCACTTGTACTGTGCTGAGGGAGAGGTTGGGCTCCAGTGTGCTGCTTCCGTTTTGTCCCCATTGGGTTGTCAGTGGGAAGGCGGCTGTGGGAATGGTGGCTGCTTTGGGGTTGCTGGTGTGCTGCTGCAGTGTGTCCCAGCTCAGCAGGAGCTGCTTTCCCGGGTCCCTCTTGTTGCCTTGGATTTCCACGTGCAGTGTGCACACAGCAGTCCACAGTTAGGTTTTAAATGACCGCTTGTGTGATGCCCTTTGCTGGAGTAGATTCCTGTTGTTGGCCGGAATCCCAGACGTGTGCTGGTTCAAGTCCAGCAAGCTTCCACATTTGATCCAGCTCCCTGCTTATGGCCTAGGAAAGCAGCAGAGGACGGCCCAGCTCTGGCCGTTGTGGCCATTCAGGGAGAGAATCAGCAGGTGATTCTCTATATTTATATCTATATCTATGTTCTAGTTGTCTCTTCTTTGTAACTCTGCCTTTCCAGTTTTTTGAAATAAATCTTTTTTTAAATTTTCTTTGATTTTAAAGATTTATTTATTTTTATTGGAAAGGCAGATATGCAGAAAGGAGGATAGAAAGAGAGGAAGATCATCCATCTGATGATTCACTCCCCAAGTGACGGCAACGGCCCGCACTGCGCATGTCCGAAGCCAGGACCTGAATCATCTATCCTGGACTCCCACGCAGGTTCAGGGTCCCAATTCTCTAGTCTGTCCTCGACTGCTTTCCCAGGCCACAAGCAGGATCTGGAGGTAGTGAGAAGGGCCAGGGAAGAGACTCTGAGGGAACGTTTGTCTTTCCAGATCCAAGCCTATGACCCAGAGCTCTGGGTGTGGGGGTGAGACTGGGCCCTCCTAGCCTAAGCTGCTGCACTGACACCAGTGGTCACCGGCCAGAGGGCAGGTGCGTGCAGGTCCTCGGGGTGGGCTGGGAGGGGGCTGTCTCCAGTCTGGGAGATCTGGGGGCCCTTTGAGTTGGACTCCCACTCCATGACCCTCACCCTTTAAAACCTTGTCCAGATCAACAGTGGGAGATGATAAGTTGGGACTGTGTGCACGTCCAAACCTCCCATTCAATTCTGCTGCATCTGAACTAATAATTTGTGTGAATTGTATTCCAATTTTGGTCATATTTGGAATGGAGTGCATACTTTATATGTAGCTCTCAAATAATGTATGCACAGTATGATGTATTTTTATAAAAATGCTTTGAAATGTTATATTTAGAGATGATTTATTAAATTCATTGCACATAAAGACAAATTACTTGTATTCTTTTGTTGGCATTTTTACTGTTATGCTATATATATGGAATTTTGTACAAGTTTAAGAATTTTTTAACTAATCTGGCCTTCATACCTTGAACATGCGTGAGGACCATGGTCTGTATGTGAGGGGAGAACATGAACTACACCTCTTGGGGTCATGTAATAAAACAGTCTTCTTACCTCCACCATGCATGCTGGCTTTTCTGTCCCATCTTGCGTGCTGTCAGGTGGTCTTGCTGCGCCATGGCGTGGTGGTCCCTTGACTCCCTCGCTGGACCCTGAGCACTGATGGTGACTGACTCTTCACCTGCAAAGGGCCTTGGAGCGGGAGGCGTGGCCTGCACTGCAGTGCAGAGAGACCCAGGGTGCAAAGCTGGCAGGGGCCTGTCGGTTAGATGATAGGGACAAGGAAAGTCAGCTCCTGCTTTAGTCCCCAAACAAAGCTCCACAAGCACCAGGGCTGGGCCAGAGGCACACGCGGGAGGCTGACACCTCTGTGGGCAGCACCGGGCAGCGGGGACATTCACCTGTGCTCAGGGAAGACAGGACCACCCCTCCCTCATGTGCAGGGTCCCACACCTGCGGTGGGAACACCTCTTCCTCCTCGGCTCCTGAGGCCAATGCACTCTCCCCTCCTGTCACCAGTTCACTGCAGGAAGACCCTGCTGGCCACGCCCTGGCTGGCTGCTTCTGCTCCTTGCCTGCTATGTCTGCTCTCTCCAGCACTCCATACTTCCTGCTGGAGGCCAGGCAGCCTGCGGTCTCTTTGGTGACAGTCCCCACCTGTCCCCTAGGCTCAGCAGGCTTCCTCTCTCTCTTTACACAGTCGTGCTCTATGTGCTCCTCTGAATGGAGCAACAGGGTTTGATAGCATGCACCAGACACCCTCTGTGAAGACAGGGCCAGGGAGCCTGCCAGAGTATGGGGAAGTACAAAGGGCAGCTCCTGCCAACTCCAGAGCTTCCAAACATGGACTTCTTGATCACAAACACAGAGCTACAGAGAGGGACAGAGGGACAGACAGAGAGAAAGCTTCCATCTGCTGGCTTCCTTCCCTGAGGGCTGCAACAGCCAGCACTGTCCCAGGGAGAAGCCCACATTCCAGAACTTCATCAGGGTCTCCTGCACAGGTGACCATTCGGCTATCCACTGCTGCAGCTTCCCAGGCTGTGTTCATGCAGCTGCAAGGGAAACACAGCAGCCGGGACAGGAACTGACATCTCTGTGAGATCTTCTGTGTTTGTGGGGAAGGGGGCAAGGAGGGGGCTGGCTCAGAGGCACATGCTCAGGAGGGAGGGAGGGAGCCATTGCTTTCCACTTCCCTCACGGTAGCCTGTGCATGGAATGTTTTGTGTGTTGTTTGGTTTTGTGCATGCTGCCCTATCAGTGGGGCAATGTAGGTTGAGGAGGACCAGATGGCACAAGAGCCTCGATTCAGCTCCCAGCAGCGTGGCCATCCAGCCTGCGACCTAGCCGCCAGCTGAGGCACAAACAACATGGCCCCAACCTGGCACCACGAGAGCACAGCACCTGCCTCTGAAGATAGAAATTGGGACTGATAATATTAGGTTGCATGATAATACTAACTAACAGGCTAGAGAACCAAGTCTGAGGAAGATTGTGTGAGGTATCTGTGGACTCACCCATGTGCAATTGCAATACTCACTGGTTTGCTCAGGAGTTAGGGTGGCCATGCGTTGAGCTAGGCATGACCAAGGAACCCGCTGGCACTCATGGAAACTCGGGTTGGGAACAGACCCAGCTCATCCAGGATGCAGCACCTGCAGGAACACACACACACACAAATAAATGATATGTAGTGGCAAGGGCAACATCATACATCAGCTCACACAAAGGACAAGACAGAGGGTGCAGACTGCAGGGTTAGGGGCTAGAAACCTCTAGAACAAGTGAGATCTGGGTGTGGGAGTCGGCCTGGTGGGGGAAGGTGGGGAACTCCCCAGCTGGGCTCTAGCCCTCACTGCTGAGCACATGAGGCAAGCTGGCAATTGGTCAGTCCGGGCAAGGCTACTCCACTTGTTGTCAAGTGTATCGGGTATTTCTGGTGGAGGGGTAACTGGTGCATGTGGCAGGGCCAGAGAAAATCGTGGCACACTAGCATATGCAGGATTCCAGGAGATGCATTGTGTGCTAGTAGGTTAGGCTATCATAGCAACTTGTAGCATGAAAGCCTGGGATGGCACCAGACTTGACTAGGCTAGGTTGCACCCACCCCCAGTCCCCATAAGAATTGAGCCTTGGGCTGGCTCACCTGGTTAGGCTGCAGCATCTGATGGGAAAGGCCAAGATGGGTGATGGGTTACGCCAGGCTGGGTCAGAGCATGCACTGGCACATCCAAGCTCTATGGCTGGGAGCAGGTCTTCTCGGGAAGGTAAGAGGATGCCCCAGCTAGGGTACGGTTCCCACTGGAGAGTGCCAGAGATAGAATTGGGGTGGGAAACTGGGCTGGACAGGTCTGCAGTATCCCTCAGCATGTGTGTGGACAGCTCTGGTGTGGGCGATACTAGGTCAGAACGAGCCTTGGCTGTGCAGAAATATGCAGCAATAATGGCTGGTTCTAATTCTGACAGCTTTGCCTCTCAGCTCACTGCTTATGGTCTGGGAAAGCAATCAGGACAGCACAAAGTCTTGGGACCCTGCACCCACATGGTAGACCTTCAAGAGCATCTGGGCTCCTGATTGGGATCAGCGAAGCTCCGGCCACTGTGTTCACTTGGGGAGTGAATCATTCGACAGAAGATAGTTCTCACTATTTCTCCTCCTCTCTGTATATGATTTGAAAAAAAAAAAGAAAGAAAAACAAACACATCTTTCAAATATAAGAAGACTTTGAACGCTTTGTAGGCCAGCCCGGAAAGGCCACTGTTCCTGGCAGATCTAAGGATGTGGACTAAGTAGTGTGAGCCCACTGACCCAACAGTGTGCAAGAAATTGGCTTTCGGAGAGATTCTGATGGAGGAGTTTGGGATATATTCTGTCAGGACACAGTCCCGGCAGGTGAGCGCAACAACCACAATGAGGTGCATTCCAGAACCAGACCCAGCAAGGGAAAGGTACCCAGCAACACATATTTGCCATAGGCTGGTGGCAGATTAGGCTGAACCAGTGCACACCACCCACTGGTGAATCTGAGCACCAGGACAGAGTGTGGGTCAGGCCACACCTCGTCACAACACATACCAGTACACAGTACAGCTGGGATTGGGTGCCTACCTGGCTGGGCTAGACTGTAATCCTCACCAGCTGGAACTGAGGCTGAGCCGGGACAGGGCCAGGCTAGAGCACCCACTGGCAAATGCCAAGACAAGGTGGGCTATGCCAGACTGGGCTGCAATACCCAATCAGCACACGTGAGAACCAGGGGAGGCAAAGCTGGAGGGGGAAAGTGGATGGCTCCCCTGCTGGACAGCCACTCCCACTGCAGACCATCAGTTGCGATGCAGGCACACCAAACCGGACAGGGCTACAACACCTGTGGCCTCATGTAAGCCAGATCAGGAAAGAGCCAGGCTGGGCTGACTGTCCCTACTGGTGCAAGCATACAGCACAATGGGTGAGGGCTGGTTGCCTTTGCCACAGCTTCAGACGGAACATGCTGGCACTGGGGGCTAATTCTGTCAAGCTAAACTGCACAACCACCTGGAAACTGCATGATCCAGAAGTGGGCCCAGGACAGAAATAAATAATGAGCACGTCCCTCTTGGGTCACCATTCCCACTAGAAAACCAATCCTGAAAACCAGGACTGGGGCAGACCTGGCGGGACAGAGTGGCACTCACCAGAATGTGTGGGGGCTGGAGAGTGGAGCTGGTTGGGTTGAACTAGGCTTCAATGCCCACTGACATGCATGAGAGTTGAATGGGATGTGGGACAGGCTGGGCCAGTTTGCTGTACATACTGGCAACCACGGACACCAGGGCAGGGGATGGGCCTGGTGGGGGTTATTGCGGGTTGCTATGACTAGGCTGCAACTCCCAATGATTTTTTTTTTTTTGCCTGAGGGCCGAGTGTGTGCTGGGCAGAATCAGGATGGACTGCAACACCATTTGGTTCATGAGGAAGACAGCGCTGGAAAGGCAACTGACCCAGCAATTGCAACCACCAGCATATGCATAAGCTGACTCGGGTGACAAATTGTGCCAGACCCTGTACTGGCATGCACACACAACATTCTATCCTGGAATCACCTCAGACGAACTATTGCTGGGGATCCCTCCAACTCAACTGCTCATCTCAGAACACTAACCATGCACAGAAGTGCAGGTTCCATGGTCTGTTCATGGAGTGCAAGTGCCAAAGCTGAGCCTCCTCAGAGACTCACACGGAGCAGTGGACAGCATTTCCAGGTGCACGTGGAAGATATGGCAGTCCATCAGAAACTTCAGAGGACACTTGGTACCACAACAGAGGACAGAAGACAGAACAAATCATTCAACAATCAACTCCCCCAGCCATGTGTTGGCAATGAATACCTCGGCAAACAGAGACTCTAAGGTGGACTATGTCAATCACTGCATTCTCGAGAGATTCCATCACGCTTGGAATGGCGAGATTGGCAGGAATTCAAACCTGTTGAGCTACCACAACCTCTTGAGTAGGACCTTCAGAGCATGCCCCGAGTCGGTTACTTGGCATGGCGTGGAGGCTAGCTGGGGCTTCTCCCTTTATTTACCTTCTTCAAACACATACAGAACAAGAAAATGTGGAAACAAAGGTCTCACCCAATTTCCTGTAGCCACTGACCGTATGTGCATTAAACAACTATGAAAATGTATCAAACACAAACAAAAAAAAAACACCAGCCAGGGTAGGTGTGTGACACACTGACTGAGGTCTCCACACTCGCTGACACACACAAGAGCTCTCTCTGGGAGCAGACATTCGAGGTCAGTTCACGGCACACACTGGGTGCAGGACAACCTGCTCTGGACTTGGAGCTAAAATGTGGCAACAACTCCACAGTCCCCGTGTAGTGAACAAAATCAGTGGTGGCATCTCCTGAAGGGGGTGGGTGTAGTACTTAGCTTTAGAAAGTGCAAGCTTTTGGGAGAATTAAGATCTGCTGGAATCAGGCGAGGACACATTTCAGCAGACAGAAAAATGTTAGCCCATGTGAAGCACAAAGGGCACATTCCAGGAAATAGGGGAGGACAGAATGACAGCAGAGGGGCACCTGGAGACTGACAGACACAGGAAAGCAGCAGACAAAACGCTGTGGTGTTGCAGTGACCAGTAACCCAGCGGCATTCAGCAAGTGGCGATCTGCATTGCACTGGCGCTCAGAACCCCACCAGCAACAAGGTGGGAAGGGGCGTTCACCAGAAGCCTAGGAGAACTGTATGTGTTGGGAGCGAACCTGGCCTGATCCACACTCTGTTCTGGTGCTCAGATTTGCAACTGGGTGATGTGTACTGCTTCACTACCCAACTTTTCATCCTACAGATACACAATACACTTTTATTTTCATTTTATTGGAAAGGCGGATAGACAGAGAGGAGAGACAGAGAGGAAGATCTTCCGTCCCATGATTCACTCCCAAGTGAGAGCAACGGCTGATGCTATGCCAATCCGAAGCCAGGAGCCTCTTCTGGGTCTCCCACACGGGCGCGGAGTCCCAAAGCCTTGGGCCGTCCTCCACTGCTTTCCCAGGCCACAGGCAGGGAGCTGGATGGGAAGCCGGGCCACCAGGATCAGAACCGGCACCCAGATGGGATCCCGGGCGTGCAAGGCGAGGACCCAAACCACTGCCACACCACGCTGGGCCCACAATACACTTTTGCTTTTCATCAGTGAATGGAACGTTCTCAGGAACTGACCATGTTTAGGCCACAAAAGAAGCCTCAGCAAACAAAGAACATCAACCTTATACCATGCCTCATGGAGTGAGCTAGAGACCAAGAACTCAAAGCAGTCAAGAAGACTTGCAAACACATGGAGGCTGAATAATATGTTACCACATGAGCACTGGATTCGAGAGGAAATGAAAGGAGAGATTTAAAAATTGCTTGAAACCAATGAAGGCATCAACACATAGATTAAATCTGATGAGACACAATCAAGCCAGTGTCAAAATTCATCTCAATCCATGCTTACATTCAGAAACTAGAAAAGCATCAAGTAAATCCACTCTCCTTACAGGAGTCAGACAAACCAGACCAACAACAGCAAGCAATCCCAAGATCAACAACAACAACAAAAAAAATCATCAAAATAAGCGGGGAAATAAACCAAAGAGACACCAAGACTACAGTTCATCAGCTCAATGCATCAAAGAGCTGGTTCTTTGAGAAAATCAACAAAATACACTCCCCACTAGCACAACTCTTCAAAACAAGGAGGGAGAAGATACACATCAATAGCATCAGACATCAGAAAGGAAACAGAACAACTGATACCTCAGACAGACAGACAATTCTTACAAACTATCACAAGCAACTCTACGGAAACAAATCAGAAGAGCTAGTAGACATGGATAGATGTTTGGACACATACAAACCACCAAGACTGAATCAAGAAGCAATTAACAATCTAAATAGACCCGTAACATCATTGTCTGTGTTTCAGCCCTTTCCACTCAATCTCTACCATCTCAAAAAAGAAATAAAGAAAAGTTCAGAGAACTAATAGTGATATCCCATTGGTCACTGGTCATCTTTGACTTTTGCAAACTAATTTCTGCTTTCAAGATCCTGTGAAGATGAGAAATACATGCACATAGGAACTATCCCTCAGAACAAATCATTTCCCCAGAAAGCAGTTGCTTAGCTTCACTTATGAGCACTTTTTCTTAATATATATCAATGTAGGCACAGCGATTTGGCATAGTGGCTAAAGATCTCGCCTTGAATTTTCTGGGATCCCATATGGGCGCTTGTTCTAATCCCGGAGCTCCACTTCCCATTCAGCTCCCTGTTTGTGGCCTGGAAAGCAGTCAAGGATGGCCCAAAGCCTCGGGACCCTGACCTGCATGGGAGAATTCATGGAAATTCCTCTCTCCTAGCTTCAGATCGGTGAAGGTCTGTCCACTGCGGTCACTTGGAGAGTGAATCATTGGACGTAACATTTTCCTCCCTGTCTCAAATAAATATAAATATTTATTAATAATTACATATATATGTATGTGTGTATTTACATTTATGTCAACGCTGGTCCTGGTGTGATAGCTCAATTGGATAACCCTCCCCTTGCAGGCAAGCAACAAGATCCTACCTGTGTGCTGCTTTAACTTCTGGCTGCTCCATTTCCCAACTAGCTCCCTGCTTGTGGCCTTGGAGGACACGGGGAATAGCCCAAAGCCTGGGGACCCTGCACCCGCATGGGAGACCTGCACAAAGCTTCTAGCTCCTGGCTTCTGACTGGCTTGGCTCTGGCGGAGTGGCCATTGCAGAGTGAATATATAGCCATTCACACAATCCAAGGGAGTCTGTGTACCAACTGACTAACACAAGCACTGTTTGTTATAAGTGATATTGCCATGTAACCTAGCGATGGATCCTGGTACATGCATACAGTGGAAAACTCAAAGGTTACAAAAAAGCAATGAAAAACAAACGTCTGTAGAAGAATCTCTAGGTCATACTGTTAAGTGAAGCAAACATAAAAGGCAGATGTTGTGTGCACATTACAAGGGGGGAATGATTGAGGAATAAGGGAAGGACACGTTTAAACAAATGGAGAAACATCAGCCCGTGTGAAGCACGAGGGGCACATTCCAGGAAATAGGAGAGCACTGAATCACAGCAGAGGGGGACAAGAGACTGACAGACACAGGAGAGCAGCCGACACAATGGTGTGGTGTTGCAGAGACTGATACCCCAGCTGCTTTCAGAACACCACTGGCAGCCAGAACTACACCAGCAACAAGCTGGGAAGGGACTTTCACCAGGAGCTCAGAAGGTGAACCCAGACAAACAACTGCCCGTCCTGCTGGCCTGTTGGATTTCACCAGGAGCAGAGACAGAGCAGCACGTCCCAGACGGGCAGTGAGGGAACAGGGTGGATTTCACAGCCCAGTGGGCCCCACAAAGCCGAGTCAGGTGTCATTTGGTATAGGGAGGCAAAGGCTTTGGGGCAGGACTGAGCATGCACTGAGCTGGGAGTGAACGCATTTCTGGCTCATTTGTTGAGTCAACTGCAACAAAGTGCCATCCTACAAGTTCCACCCAAGAGAGGCACGGGCAGCCCTCAACCTGATAGCCAGCAGATCAACAACTCTACTAGCGGCACATCACGTGCCACTTTGTACAGCATGGAAAGACTTTAAGACTGTAGGACAAGAGTGAGCTGTGCATGTGCTGAACGGGGATGAACTCACTGAGCTCAGTGCATTGCACTGGTCCCACAGGGAAGAATACCGACTTTGGCATTGTATGGGTCCAAATAGGTACACGTGGCCCTCTGCCTAACAGCCAACAGGTTCAGGTAAGACCAGCACCAACAACAATCCAGTTATACAAGACACCTGATGCCTCCCTAATTCTGGGACCTCCTCTAACTCAAAACTGGAAAAAGATCCTATAAACAATGGTGCAGCCTCAGCATGGTATCACAGCAGGTGGAGATGGAAAGCCAGGAGCTGGGGCTACACAGACCATGTTAAAATCGAACATAAAAATCCAGACCTGGAACTCGTGGAGGGAGTGGCACAAGGGATTGCAAGCAAAGAGCCACGTGCCAACCACAAAAAGAAAAATCAAATTGCAGACTTGTGGGTGACACAGCTTAGAAACCTGCCCCAAGGAGAAGAATCTCACAACCTCAAGTACAGTGACCAAGACAAAGGAAGAGACAGAGACACAATGCATGTTACTCAAGACTCCCTTGCAAAGCAGCAAAACCCTTGGTCAATCTCAGAGTAAACTGAGGAACACATCAAGAATATGAGGGATAACCCTCAAGACTCTCGAATCCTCACAAAGGACTATCAGTACGGGCACCAAGGACTTCATCCCAACAGCCAAGGAGAACACGCGGAATGGCAGTGCCTCTGGAGGCCGAGAACTCCGAGGTCACCCAGCCCCGTCTGGATCTGCTACATGGCATGGAAGAAGCACAAATCCTTCCTCACATGATCCAAGGTCCTCGGAACAACAGCCAGGAGCCCAGAGTCGTCTGCAGAAACACAACAACAGTAGGCTTCCTTCGGGACCAGGCAGAGCAGCTTTTTCTGGTCCTTACTTAGTTCCTACTTGGATCCCCACCCTCTCTTGCAATGACCATCAGGGTCGCTCCGGATCTTCTGCCCCAACCCCCAAGAAAACTACAATAGATACACAGAAATACAAGCAAAGCTTAGAACCAGACAGGAAATGGTCAGCATGGATCCACATAAACCTTACGAGGTAGGAAACAAAGGATTAGTTACTCCTCACTAGGGGATTGGAGATTTCTCTGCACACCCCTCCTAAAACGCTTCTGCACCTCAACTGTTGACAAATGCCTTGTTGAAGTTACAAGCCAGTTTAGACTATCCTAACATCTGCCAAGTTCAGCAAAATTATGCTTCAACACTATAAGCTGCCAAATACTAAAATGAAAATAGACACGAGACAGCTGAATAGCACCCCATAGCCACTCAAAGGTGTATAGCAGCCGGTCCTGTGTATCAACAAAAATTGAAATGTCAATGAAGTAGTCACAGGATGTGGTTAAGAACTTGGATTGTTTTAGCATACTCATTACCCAATACCATGTCAATTCATTCCATAATGTTGCAAACTGTCGTTGATGTTGTGCTGGGGCTTTCAATTGATAGGGATGACATTCTGCCAGCTCTACCTTTAGACCAGAGAAGGTCTCCCCAACAAACTGCTGAATGTATCTGGACAATAAGATGCTGGGCTCTATGTTTGGTGTATGATTGCAATGAAAGAATCTGGACTTAACTTGAACTGTAGTACTGCAACAAGGTGGAGGAATCCACACTGAGCGGAGGGCACAGGGAGGGATTGGGGGGAATTCCAGAGCCTATGAAACTGTGTCACATAATGCAACCTAATTAATTCAAAAAAAGAGTTATGGGTGAAAAACATTGAGCAAAGCATAGCCTTACCCGCTTTCCTGTAGCCCTTGACCCTTTCTTGCCCTAATCACCCCTGTGAAGATTATCACAAATAAAGAAAACAAAAGTCATGGCTATCCCAGGAGGTATAGAAAGAGAAGCTGGGATTCAAGGTGTATTCAACCAAATAATAGGGAAATTTTCCCTAATCCAGTGAAAGAATTAGGAAACAACACCCAGGAAGTGCACAGAACTTTCAACACGCTTAACCAAAAGCAATCTTCAACACAAAACATGACTAAATATTAGAATGAAAATAGACACAAGACAGCTGAACAGTAATCTAGAGCCATTTTAAGATGTACAGAACCCGGTTGTATATAAACTAAAATAGAAATGTCAATGAAGTAGTCACAGGATGTGGTGAAGAACTTGCATTCTTTTTACTTTTAACATATTGTTTACTCAATACTATCTCAGTTAATTCCATTATAGTATCAATTCTTGATGATGTTACGATGGGGCTTTTAATGGATCGGGATGATACTCTGCTGGCTCTCCCTTCAGACCAGAGAAGGTCTCCCCAACAAGCCGGTGAACTTCTCTAGACTACAAGGGGCTGGACTCTATGCTGGGTATATGCTTGCAAAGAAAGAATCTCAACTGAACTTGAACTCTGGTCATGCAACAAGGTGGAGGAATCCACCATGGGCAGAGGGGTGGGGGGAATCCCAGAACCTGTAAAACTGTGTCACATAAAACAATGTAAATAATAAAAACAAAACAAAACAAAACAAAAGAACAAACAGAAAAGAAAAAAAAACAAAAATGGCAATTAAACTCACAGGAGACCTCTCACAGGAAACTCTACTGGCCAGAAGAGAATGGAGCAACATCTTCCCAATCCTCAAAGCACAAAATGGTCAGCCCACGATGTCGTACCCAGCTAAATTTTGTCTTCAAAAATGAAATAAAATGCTTCCAAAGCAAAGAAAAGGGAAAAGAATTTGCCTCTTCCAAAACTGCACTACACAGAACACTTAAACAGGTTCTCTTCACAGAGTAAGGGAATAGCCAAAACCAAAACCAAGAACATCCCAGGAAAAGAACAACAGAAGACTCAATCAATGAACAACCATTGCTAAAACGACAGGACCAAATTACCACCCATTTACAGTAACACTGAAGAGAAATGGCTTCAACTCCTCAATCAAACGTCATAGATCAGTAGACTAGATCTAAAAGAAAAACAAACACATCTGTTTCTTGCCAACAGGACACATCTCTCACCAGCAGAAACTAGATCTCATGGATTTTGGAGAACTGGGCCTCCTCACTTGCTAAGCCTGAGCAGTGGACAGCATGCCCAGATGCACTTGGGGCAGATGGCAGCTCACCCAGGTCTGCAGAGGACATTGAGTACCACGTAGACGATGGGAGACAGAACCAATCGGACAACTCTCCAAACCAGGCTTTAGCATCAAGCATCGGGACAAACAGACACTCTCAGGTGGACAATGTCAGCCAGTGGACCTTGGAAGAATTTCCTCATTCTTGCAGCAACAAAACCAACAGCCTTTCAGAACTATCACAACCCCTTGCGCAGTGCCCTCAGAGCCTGATCCACATCTGGGACCCTGGGATGATATGGGGTGGCTGTCCTCCACCCCCGGCACTCATGCGGTTAGGATGCTGGGTATGGCTTCACCTCTTCTTCTTCCCTTTCCCCAAGAACAAAGAGAACAAAATGAACATCAGAAGCGATGGTGTCATGCACGGAGGCCTATTCCTCCACCCTTCCCATGGGATATAGTGGTACACATGCACATGGATCCATCTAAACTACATCATCAACACCAAAATAAAATCATTTTATCAGACTTGTTGTGGATGAGTAGGGAGGCCAGAGGCCTGGAGTGTGGCTGTGGACAGTGTGGTCAGGCGCTGGCGGATGATGAGGTCCCAGGACCTCCACATGAGGGGCCCGAGGGAGCAGGTGACTCACAATCTCACTGGGGAGGAGGAGGGTGGCAGCAGTCCTAGGGAGCTGAGGACAAGTGTGATGGCAAAGAAGGCCTCGGGGGGTCAGGATTGGAGGAGAGGCCTCCAAGAGGAGACCAGGATGCCCACAAGGACACAACCACAGGGAGCTAGGCACGGCAGTGGGGGCATTGGGAATGGGGCAGGTGTCCTGGCTTCCATTACAGGCTAGAAGACAGGCTGGGCAATGTTGGGTGTTGGGGGTGGTACCAAGTGTGCCATGTGTCAAGGAGCAGGCGGCCTCAGGAAGAGGCCCCAAGCTGGGGCTGGGGAGCATGGCAGCTTTCAGTTATTCTGTGGGGGCCAAAACTAGAGATGGCCCGTCACAACAGAGCCTATTCCTTCCCACAGCCCCACGCGTGGACACCAGCTCCCAGCCCCAGAGTTCTGCCGGCAGCACAAAGAGGCCTTGGTCCACAGCCTTCTCAAACTCGGGGTCTGACTCAGAGACAGAGGTGACAACAGAGATGCAGGGCATATGGCCTCGGGGCTGCAGGGCGAGCTGGCCCCGGAGACCAACCCAAAGGTGCACACAAAGCACAGAGCCCACGGAGAATTGGGCTGTGGAGTGGCTCCTGGGGCTGAAGATGAGGCTCAAGAAGCAGCGTGTGTCGACGGTGCTGCCTGAGCACCACAAGGTCTTCAACAGGCTGCTCGGTAGGGGATGAGACTCGGGGAGGGTCGTGGGGGGTGCTTCGGTGGGTAGGGACAGGTCCTGGGGGACCTGGATGGAGCCTTGCCTGTGTAGCCAGAGAGACTGGGGGCCTGGGGAGAGCCCTGGATCTGCCAGCCTCTCTGATACACATGAGCTCCTGCTGCCCATGTCCACCAGCGGGGCTGCGGAGATGCCGGGCTCACTGTAAATGCTGGGCTGTCACCCACTGATCACCCCATACAGACTGAAACAGGCCTCAGTGGCACATGGGCAGCCACGGGCATGTGCCCAGGCCCAGGACACACATCCATGCTGGACCAAGCCCTTCCTCACTGGCAGCCACAGACCCTTGCTTGCCAGCCACATGTGCCCAGCCTCTGCATGGCTGCTGGACCCTTGGCTCTGACCTGACACTTCCCCAGAAGAGGCCAGGGCCCGCCTGCTTCTCAGCCTAACACACTGGCCCCTTTCCCCAGAGGATCCCGTGGTCAAGCGGTTCCTGGCCTGGGACAAGCAGCTCAGAGTATCTGACAAGGTGAGTGGGCCCGACACACGGGGATAGATTGGGTTGGGGGACACAGGGCATAGCACCCCTGCAGTCATCTGCCCCTGCACGTGCCTCCACCCAGCACGCACACACAGTGCCTGCCCTTTCCTGACGGGCCCCGCATGTATGACGGAGCCTGTGGCATCTCTGCTCCCCACTGAGACTGCTGCCTCTGTGCCAGGCCCCAGGTCAGGCCAGCCTGGATGTCACAACTCTCGTGGGCATCCCTGATGATCAGGGCCCAGGTGCCCAGCTTCCTGCTCCTCCAGAGCCCTGGGAACCCCAGCTGCCCTCACACAGGGCCCTGGCAGTGGCAAGGCTACACTGAGTGGCAACAGCCCACTGCCCCAATACCCACCACCCTGTCCTGATTCTCGTCAAGTCATGACTCGTGTCGTGCTGCCCTCTCTCCCTCAGTACCTGCTGGCCATGGTCATCGCCTACCTCAGCCGAGCCGGCCTCTACCCATGGCAGTACAGGCGCATTCATTTCTTCGTAGCTCTGTGAGTATTCTGCTTCCCGACTCTCTGCCCTGGAACATGCAGGACTGAGTCCTCCCTCCACCTGCAACAGCAGAGTCAGCTCCAACACCACACCCTCCCTCTGCTTCTCTGGCCTCCCAGCGCTGCTGCCCAGCCCGCTTCCGGGGGCACCCTTTCTGATCCCTGACCTGCTGGGCCCAGGCCCGTGTGGCAGGGTCACGTCACAGTGCCCACAGGCTCTTACAGGCTTGGCCCTACTTGAGTGTAAGATGACAGCTCAGCTCCTGCCCTTTTGTGGCACCTCATTCACTCTGCACAAGGCCTTGCCTGGTACATGCCATGGGTCAGAGAGTGTGACAGGGAATGTGGAACTACAAGCTGCATGTGGAATGAGTGCACGGGAGTGGATGGACACGCTGTGTCTGCCCTTGGGGGCACGTCTGTGTCGTTGGGGAGGTGTGTGCACCTGCATCATGGTGAAGGGGTGGGGAGGGGGAGGGCAGGGATGCAGTGCCCAGGGCCCAGGAGGGAGGCATTCTCTGCCAGTTCCTGTCCAGCTACAGGGGCACTGAGGGCTCCCATGCAGAAGCTGAGCTTGGCCAGAGGTCTTCCCGCTGGGCCCGCGCAAAGAGATGGGCTTCTTTTCCCAGCTACCTGGCCAACGACATGGAGGAGGACGAAGAGGACGACGAGCCTCCCAAGCAGGCCATCTTGTCCTTCCTCTTCGGCAAGGATGACGCCCAGCGGCCCCTCTTCGACCACCTGCGCCTGCAGTTCATGCGCTGCATGGGCTGGAAGGCCTGGGTCACCCTGGAGGAGTGTGAGGAGGTGGGTGAGGCTGGGGCGGCTTGAGCAGGACCCAGGAGCAGGGCTGCAGGGCCCGGGGCTAGGGATGTGGGGACAGGCAAGAAGGGCCAGGGAAGAGCCTCTGAGGGAACGTTTGTCTTTCCAGATCCAAGCCTATGACCCAGAGCTCTGGGTGTGGGGGCGAGACCGGGCCCTCCTAGCCTAAGCTGCTGCACTGACACCAGTGGTCACCGGCCAGAGGGCAGGTGCGTGCAGGTCCTCGGGGTGGGCTGGGAGGGGGCTGTCTCCAGTCTGGGAGATCTGGGGGCACCCTGAGCTGCACTCCCTTTTGTCACCCACACCTTTCTAAAACCTTGTCCAGATCCACAGTGGGAGATGATTAGATGAGATGATTGGATGGGACTGTGTGCATGTCCACACCTCCCATTCAATTCTGCCGTGCTCTGCAGTCACCCACACTCACTTTCCAACAACCCTCACCACGTTGGCCACTCCAGCATCAACGCTGGCCCCTGACTCCCACCCCTGCCGCCTTGTCCCCTCCTGCAAGCTTCCACCCCAGCAACACCTCCAGCATGGCCAGTGCAGCTGCACAATTGTGTGGCAGCTCTCATGGGGGACATGCATGCATGACTCTCCTTTGGGGTGGGGAGGGCACCAGCTAAACATCTCTATCTACTTTCCAAGTATTCCTATGCTCATGGAATTTGCCAGAACGCGGAAGGGTAAGCACAGCAACATCCTGCGTGGTGGTCACCCCTGACTCATCAGTTCCCGTCAGGGATGGGGGCTGGGCAAGGACGCACCTTGGGCCGTGAGCTGAGTGGTTAGGGTCGGGGATTGGGCATGGGCTCTCCTGTTGGCGAGTGGCCCACCTCAGGCCCAGAGTCAGGGACCCCCACTGACAGGCCGAGGATGGCTGACAAAGACCAGAGTTCAGAACCAAGGGCCAGGGCGCCAGGGAGTCTGTCTCCCAGCCCACCCGTGGGGACTGAACTGGCTGCGAGTCACGTCTGACTGGGTCTCTCCTGCTTCCAGGTCGGTGAGCCCAGGGGAGACGTTCTTCAGCAACAGCAGCAGTCCAGACACCAAGGGCCACTGCGAGACAGGCGACAGGCCTGCTGGCCGACAGTCTGCAACAACCCAGACTCTTCAACAACAGCGTCCCCGCCAAGTACTCCTGCCAGCTGTGGGCACTCCCGGGGCTGTGCGGTGGGACAGGCCTTCTATCCACTTCCATCCTGGCCCGACACTCCATCAAACTGGCACAACTGATTTCCTCCCCTGAGACAGCAGCTGCAGCCCTACTCCTTTATTGATTTAGTCACTCAGATTCCAACTATATGGTCCCCACGGTCAAAAACCATCAGAGGGGTCCACTCTTGAAGCCATCATTTGTTTGAATTGCACTCCAATTTTACTCATACTTCTAATGGAGTGCATATTCTATATGTAGT